AGAGCGTTTTGGGGGGAGAGGGACCCGTCCTCCGCCGGGACTCGCCGCGCAAGACGGGTCGTCGTGTCCAGGGCTCCTTCTGCCAGAACATTTTGGCTGAGCCGAGCTGGTCAAAGTCACCAGGAAAGGGGTCATATCCCCATATCCCAAATGTACCAACCGCAAAGGCTGGGAATCCCGTGCCCCGAGGGCTACACCATCCCCAGGTCACCGGGAAAGGGGACACGTCCCCATATCCCAAACCTGGAAAGGGGATGTATCCCCATATCCCAAACGTACCATCCTGGAAAGCTGGGAATCTCATACCTTGAGAGCCATGCCAGCCCCAGCACAGCCTCCCTCCCTCCCCTGGGAATGCTGATCCCGCCGGTTATTTTTAGCACCCCTCTCCCAAGGGGCCGGAGTGGCTGGTTTCTCCCTCTGGCCGTGGATCCCCCTGGCCGAAGCACGTCCCCGGTGGGACCGGGTGCCCGCATGCAGAAGAGGATGGGTGAGGCGGTGGCCCGGGTGGCCAGGAAGGTGAACGACACGGTGGAGAACAAAACGGATTCCCTTGGTAAGCCCGGCGCTCCGGCTCGGCTCCCACTTGGGGCCTGGAGAAGGATCGGGTATCCGGGAGCAGGGCTCTATTTTTTGCTGCCATGGTCTAAAAAAAGCTGTCGGTCCCCCCTCTGGGTGCTGCACCCGATGCTCCCGCAGCCCTGGGGAAGGGACAGGCTCCCCCAAAGGGCTCTCAGCCCTCCCAAAGTTTGAGCGGGTTCCCAGTGACGGCACATAATCCCGTGGGACATGCCCCAGGGATAAAGTCCCCCTTTGCAAGCAATGGCAGGAGCCAGACCTCTCCCCGCATCGCCTTGTCAGATTTGCGTTTTGCTGCAATTTCCCTGTTTCTAGCTAATATCCGAGACTCATGCGCAGTTCATCAAAAGAGAAAGATAAAAGCTGCTCATTTTCAGTCGTGCTGGATTCCCAGCCCTGGGGTATAAACCAGTGTACGCTGAGAATCAGAGCTTCATCGCTCAGCCTCTCGACATCTTCCTCAGTGAGACGATAAGTGGGGAGGACCGAGCTTGTGCAGCCCCCACCATGACTTTGGGGAGGGGGCAGAGCCTGGGTGGGCATCATGGGGTTGGGATACAGGGTTTCCATCCCCTGGCACTTCCCAGGAGGGGAAACACAGAAACAAAAATGCCAACACGTGGGAAGCACAGCCAAATCCTCTTCCCTCCCTGCTGCTTGCCATGGGGCACGTGCCCATCATCATGAGAAATCCAGCCAGGAGCACACCCAGGGAAAGCCCTGCTCCATCTCCATCAGCAGTGGAGGACGTGTCCCTGTGATGCTCAACCTTCCCCGGGGGGTTAGGGCCATAGGGAAGGGGGATTATTGAAATTATTAGACATGGACAGGCTGGCTGAGTGTTTGCAGAAGGACATTGCGGCGTGGAGGTAAATGCAATGTGATTTGGGGCTGAACAATAAGTGGGGGCAGAACAGTCTTAGCATTGCTGATGGGAACAAACTATTGGTGCTTGTGGAGGTGATTGCAAAGATCCCTGCAATGGAGAGGAGTATGGCAGGAGACATTACAGCATCCATGAGCGGCAGCACTCAGACAGGCAAACTGAGCATTAAGGGGTGGAAAACAAGATGGAAAGCATTGCTCCATCCCACCTTGGGTGCATTATGAGGTGCATGGGTCTCTCTGGGGGCAGATCTGGCCAACTGCAAACTGATGACCTTCCCCATCGGCATCTACAAAGCCATGAGGAGTGTCACCGAGGGAATCCACAACATCTCCCTGGCAAACAATGAGCTGAAGTCCCTCACCAGCCGATTTGTCACCACCTTCAGCCAGCTGAGAGGTAAGGGACAGCCCCACTCCTTCACAACAGCCACTTCCAAACCCCTGGGACCCAGAAAAGAGGCCCCAGGCAGCCGCAGACAGGACACAGCACCAGAGAGTTTCCCCACTGCAGTTTTTGCTCCTCTGCACTCACACCTCATTCCAAGCACTAGTTCAGCCCCCAAAAATCCATTTTCCTTTACCCTTTCCGGCCCTTGAAGGAAGAGGGCACTGGTTTTGCTCTCACCCACCCTCCCAAACTCATGCCCTGCCACACCTCCGGCCACTCTCAGCAGCGGCCAGGCTGCTGCAGGGTCACTCATCATCCTCCATCTCCCTCCGAGGATGGGGCTGGGGATGAAAGAGGATGGGAAAGGCAGCCTAGGCATAATGGTGCATGGCAGAGATGGGGCATTTCAGGCTGCAGGAGGCATGCTGGCTTGCTGCTGGCTAATTAGCCCCCATCATGAGACACCAGTGATAGTTGCTCATTGCTCCACTCACTGCAGGAGATGGGGACAGTCATCAGTGCATGGCTGGTGCCATGGGGACACGTCTCTGCAGAGCCCAGCAAAAGCAGCCAGAAGCTAATCTGCTAAAACATGCTAAAGCATCCAGCACCATGGTTTTGGACACTGGGGACTGCACCGGGGCTTTGTCCGCCTGCAGCAGCGCCCAGGGCTCTGGCAGCTTTTAGAAGCAAATATTTTGCGCATACAATGTACTGCACAAGTGCCACCATGGTGGGTGTCTGGGGAGGCTTCCCGTGTTGTACTGGAGCTGGAGCATCATCCGTGAAAACTCCCCTAGGCTGGAGAAAAGAAACACATCAAGCAAAAGAAATCAATTTTCATTTTCTAGACAGCACGGCAAGCCCTGAGGCAAAAAAAAGTCTCATTTCCCAGCAAGGGCTTTGCTCTGCCAGTGAACAAATTGCTCTGGTGATGAACATGCTGGGCCTCAGCAGGGCTGTCACAGGGGAGTGATGCCCCAGGGCTGGGGACAGCCTTGCACCAGCCTGAATAAGGCAGGACCTATAAATACCAGGTATTAGCAGGGGTAGGGCAGCTTGCGTGGGTATTTATAGAGCAGAAAGCCCTGTGTCACTGGAGAAGGGCACTGGGACAGCAGGATTTGTGTTCCTGTTCCCATGGCTAATGGTCTGTCACACAGGAGTGCTGCTCCTGGCCCCACAGGAGCTCATTTCTGAGGGGGAAGCATCACAGAGGGTTAAACTCTGTAGAACAGATATTTTTTGCATATAAATACATTTCTTCCACCACTCTGTTTATACCTCAGAAGGGGTTCAGGCACATGAAGATAGAAAACTAGCCTTAAGCCATGACAAATGTCCACTGGGGGGGAATTGCACCAACTTCACTAAGAAATATTGCTTATTTCTACAGCCCCTGTTTGCGAAATGCTGCACGGGTTTCATTAGGGAAGCCTGAGGAAGCCAAGAAACATATCACTCCTAAAGGCAGTATTCACAGCAGGCAAAGTACGGTGGCAAGCCATGGAGATGAGCAAAAAATCCCATTTTTAGAGTTGGAATCCCACTGTTGGACCTGGCAGCCCATGGGGGACAGAGGCTGTAAACTAAGCTATGCATTAATTATTTTACCATCTTTTTCCCCCCCACCCCACCACCTCCCTCCTCTCTTCCCCAAACTGCAGAGCTCAATCTGGCAGGCAACTACCTGCACCGCCTGCCCGAGGAAGTCACCTCCCTGCTACACCTCCGGGCCATCAACCTTTCCCGCAACAGGTTTCGGCGTTTCCCTGAGCCCCTGGCTGCCGTCGCCACCCTGGAGACCATCGACCTGGAAGAGAACGAGATCGCAGGTGAGAAGGACCTTTTCCCACTGGAGGTGAGGCTGAGCATCACCCCAGGGCAGCTGCACTTCCCAGCGGTGGTGCGGATCCACATCCCTGGGCAGGGAGGGATGCTGGCTCGAAGCTTTGCTCACGGTCCACCATCCCCTGCAGAGGCAGCCAGGCCGAGGGATGGCTTAGTGATCCAGCAAAAGGAGCATGAATTCGGCAGGGGGAAGGGCACACGAGTGCAGGGGAGATGCTAAATAGACAGAGCCTTGTTAGCCACTTGCTTTTGCTAATGCTTGCACTGCCTTCCTGGGGCAAAGCTGTTGCAGGCATATGGGGAACCAAGCCCCATTCACCCTGCTGGGATGTGGCTCTCAAAGGCAGCTCCGGCTGTGACTCAAAATCACCAGATTTAACAAAAAAATAGACCCGACTGCAGAACCCGGCCCCCAAGGATGCTGGGCTGGGATGTTTGCTGCCAGGCAAAGTAAGGGCACAAGCCCTCCTGAACATTTCCCAGAGCAAATAGGAGCCATAACACTATGAAATCCCCTAAAAAAAGAGAAATGAAAGGAATGGTAAGAGCAGCTAGTCCCCCAAGCCTGCAGTCAGAGGAAAATCTTTCATGCGCAAAGCTGAAGCCTTTGGAGCTCCCAAAAGCTGGGCAAAAGGGGCAGCTGTTGCACGTAGATAAAAGGGGATCTATTTAGGAGCAAGCTTTCAAAGAGCCCAGGCTGGAGCATCCCACAGCCTGCACGGATCCCCGGGGAGACGGATATCGAGTCCACCCAATTTTGCTGTTTTATCTGGGATGGCTTCAGCTGCTGCTGGGAAAGCTGCTCCCTACAACACGAGTTTTATTAACAGCATCAGCTGCTCCCTGGCCATGCCTGTAGAAACGCAAGACTTTAAATACTGCTTCCATGAGAGCCAGCAAAAGACTTGGGTTTTCCTCACCCCTTTTTTTTCCTCGCACCTTCTGGAGAGAGCTGTCTCACTCTCAGTTCCCTCCATCGCTTTTTGAGTGTAATTGGCCAACTTCAGTCAGACTTGATGAAGGACCTGAGGTCTCCAGACTTCATATTTCCCACTCATTTTGTGCAAGCAGGCTGCTGCAGGAAGGGAATGCAGCTTTCTGTTGCATTTTTCCCTGGTTAAATGCAGGGAGGAAAGGATGCATCACGGGTTGTACCCAGCTCAATTAATCCTCAGGGAGAGGGTAGCTAGAAAAGCTGGCTGCCAGGCTTGGTCACCACACGTTCAGGCTCCCCTTGGCTGCTGTTATCAGACTCAGAAAAATAATGACAGGGTAGAAATTAACAATTTCAAGCCAAAATGTTTCAGGGACATATCTTAGTAACGAGCACAATGCTGTCTGGCTGCAGAAATCATAGAATCATAGAATCATTAAGGTTGGAAGAGACCTCCAAGATCATCGAGTCCAACCATCAACCCAACACCACCATGCCCACTAAACCATGTCCCTAAGCGCCTCATCTACACGTCTTTTAAATATTCCCAGGGATGGTGACTCAACCACTTCCCTGGGCAGCCTGTTCCAATGTTTAACCACTCTTTCAGTAAAGACATTTTTCCTTACATCCAATCTAAACCTCCCCTGGCACAACTTGAGGCCATTTCCTCTCGTCCTTTCGCCAGTTACTTGGGAGAAGAGACCGACACCCACCTCGCTACAACCTCCTTTCAGGTAGTTGTAGAGAGTGATGAGGTCTCCCCTCAGCCTCCTTTTCTCCAGGCTAAACAACCCCAGCTCCCTCAGCCGCTCCTCATAAGGCTTGTTCTCCAGACCCCTCACCAGCCTCGTTGCCCTTCTCTGGACACGTTCCAACATCTCAACATCCTTCTTGTAGTGAGGGGCCCAAAACGGAACACAGTATTCGAGGTGCGGCCTCACCAGTGCCGAGTACAGGGGCACGATCACTTCCCTGCTCCTGCTGGCCACACTATTTCTGAAAATAGGTAAGATTAGCCTATTTTATGCATTTTCTGGAAAGGGAAGAGGTAGAGATTAGGAAGCCACTGGCCTTGCAGCCCATTTTCCCAAGGAAACAAAAGTTTGGGCAATTGCATCACTCCTGGGTACCTTCCCCAATACCTCCTGGGCTCATTCACACAATGGCCTCCCAGGGAGTGGGGCATCCAGAGAGCTGCAACAGCTCAAGTCCTTCACATCCAAGGAAAAGCATCTCATCCCCAGTTTCGCCTTCTGGGACCATGGTGAAATCTCCTGGATTGCCCTTGAGCCTTCAAAGCTGAGCTAGCACAGGGACCAAGCTCCCTGGGAGCTTGCAGCCAGGCTGTGGGATGAGCTTTGGTGCCAGTTATCTGCACATGAGTTTGCATTTATACATATATATGCATTTTTATATGCTAATACAGTTTTATATATCATTTATGAGCTTTTATTTATATATACACCTTTTCCTCCCACACACTAGCCTGGTGCAACAGGGGAAGGAGAGTTAAGGAAAGCCCATCAGCTTGAATTTACCAGCACAGATTTTGCTTTTCCTTAACAGCTGAGTAGGATTTGAGCTCTTCACACTCATTTCACCCCAGGAGATCTTAGGTCAGGCTGCAGGAGATGGCATCTTCTCTTTCCTCCTCTGCATGCATGTACAACTCATCTGCTACAAGCATCCTTGGAGAAGCTATTGAGATGTCTGAAAGTTCATCCTGGTGCTGTTCTCCAGCAGCAGTGCCTACATTCCTCCGGCCAGCCCAGCATAGGAAGGAGCTGCTCCAGCAGCACAGAAGAGAGTAAGGGCTGCTTTTTGCAGGGTTTTATAGTTTGGGACCCAGGTTGCCCCATTTAGCCCAATAACGAGTTGAGGACCCTGCTCCAGATGAGACCGGTAGGTGAGAGAAGGATGTTCTAACAGGTTATGGGTAGGAGATGGAGTTTGGGGGAGGACTGGGGCTTTCTGTAGCAGTAGGAATATTGCAGATAGCTGGGGTTTGGTGCTGCTGCAGCAGCTGTGTACCATTCCTGGTCCTGCCTGTCCTCCTCTGCCTTCTCAGTGATGCTGAAGGAGCTGATAGCAGAGCTGCAAACCAGACTAAAAGCACCTGCTGAAAGAGGGCTGAGTCACCTATTAAGACATATTGAGCTGAAGATGGTAGGTAATGTTTTCCAGCTAAAGGGAAACAGGAGTAAAAGGAGATTAATTAATGCTTGCCTGGAGTCTGGGCTCTGAAAGGAGACGTTTAGTGCCATGAACTGCCCTTTTCATATCAATGAGCTCTTACCCCTGGAATGTAATTGTGTATATATTAATGTCAGTGCTTTTAACTCTT